CCAGCATTAGATAGTTTCGGTCGCTTCTTTCCTTGCTTGAATGCGCCGGCTTCTGGCGATGTGTCAGTTCCAGTTGGGTTCATTCATTTATATGATTTTTTTTTTTTTTTTCTTATGATAAATTTGAATTTTCTCCTTTTTTATTTGGGAAAAAGAAAACAAAGACACTTGTAATTGCAATCCCCTCCCCAATCTTTTTTCTGCACAATGTGTGCCATGTTCATTTCCTTCCGCTTTTGGCTTTGTCCTTTTCCCCCTGTCCTTCTTTCCCTGCATTTGCATTGGGGGGGGTAAAAGGTGGGGGGAAGGTGAAGGCTGTCTCTTATACACATCTAGATGTGTATAAGAGACAGGAATTGAGTATCATTTGTTTTCTGACACAGCCTAGACGGAAGTCGATTGCCCTTTGTCGTTCAGCGATTCTTCGGGCCGCTGAGGCATAATCTGCGATTTCAATTTCGATTTCAATTTCATGCTTGACCCAGCGATGATCCTTTTAGGGGTCAGGTCGAGCATCGATATGTTATGGTCCCTTGTCTTTTTGGTGCATTCGCCTCTGCGCTGCCATCCGTAATGTGTCGAAGACGCGAAGCCAATGGAACGCGTGAACGATGCATCATCATCGTCAGGATGAAGTTGTGATACGCACACTGTGCGCACTTGATCCCTCCACACACACACAGACTTGCATTTTTTTTTATTGCTTGCTGGACGTACAAGATGCGCTTTCTTATATCATCGAGTGAGATCCAGCGCACTTAGCCACTCGCAAATGCGGCGCGTGTTAATGTTTAAACGCGACCAGTACACGGGCCCAGCCTTGTGAAGAACAAATATTTCGCCGCCTACGGAAAAAAAAATTGGAGGCTAGGAGCTACTACCGGACCACGACGGCTGGCGGCGCCAGCCAAGAAAGGAGAAAAAAAGTACGTCGGTGGCCGGGGGGTTCGGTACTCAGCTTGGCGCCGCGTGGTGGAAAGGCCATCAGGCCCCCAGGTGTACTGGTGGTTTAGGTGTTGGGAAAACAACTGAAGTTGAATTAGGCTTTTCGAGTTACAGGCGGTTGTTTGAAACTTCGAATGCTTTATCTTTTTTTTTTTTTTTTTTTCGAATGTGAAGAGAGGAGGCAGGAGGCTGCACCGCGCAGATCTTTCTTGGAGTATCTCAGTTCAGGCTTGCTGATTGAAGATTTCTGTGTAGAAGGAATTACTGGTGTTGGACAGATGCGGGGGGATCAGTTGGATGGATAAAGGAATCGTTCCCTTGGGTCGATAACGTTCTTCGGTTGCATTTCGCAAGACATTGATTGATTGTATTCATTGGATTTGGTCAAGCGCTCGGGTCACATTCATGGAAGGGAATTGAAATTGATTATCATTCCAGGTGAAGTTTGGAGAAACAAATTGGATTGTTGTCGGGTAGCAGATCAGATTTGTTGACATTTCCGACCGTTCTTAGGAGGTATTTGATGTTTGGTGGACTTCCTCTTGGTTTCGTGAATGCGCTGAGAAAGGTGGGCGTGTTTGGTGAAACGATGGGGAAGAAGAAGAAGAAGAAGAAGAAGAAGCACGAGGTATGAAAACGAACTTGAGAGCCCGATCCCTTGTCGTGCAGTACAGAGGGATCGGGGAGAGAGAGGAGCTGTGGAGACGATGACGACGGAACGAAGGCGGAGAGTTCCCCACATCGCTAATCTCTCTCTCTCTCTCTCTCTCTCTCTCTCTCTCTCTCTCTCTCTCTCTCTCTCTCTCTCTCTCTCT